CTGCTGCAGCAAAAATTACATTTATAAAAAAAAAAAAAAATCCTTTTTTTTTTTTTTTTTACCCTTAAAGTGTGCAGTTCCCCCCTCCCAAATATACAGCATGTACTGTATATGATTGTATTATGTCTTTTCAGCTTTAGATGGCGCTGATGTGCAATGTTAGTCTGTATCCTTATGCATGTTTATCCATGATACACAGGAAGTCCTCTCTGTATGCTGTATTATGATGCAATGTTCTCCTAAGCAAGTAAAACTTAATTCAGCATTCCTCAAGATCTCAGTGCTTCATCTAAACACATAACCAACATTTCCTTCCCTTCCTGAAAACAGGAAGTGAGAGGAAATTCCTGGTGGTTGCCAGAACTAGTGTCCCCAGTGGAAGATTCCCCATCTATTCCTGTTCTGGTGACAACCCAAAATTTAGGATTTTTCATTTCAGTGTTAATGATCACCAGGAGAAACAGAGAAGCTGAATCTCCCTAACGGGGACACAGACAGCAATACAAATCTGACAGGTGATCTAATTCTTCTCCACACTGTCCAAAACGAAGAAATACATGTTGGCTTCAGATTCACTTACTGATAAGTATTATGCACTTATACATTGGGATCAACATTTTAAAGCTCCCTGCACTTATATCAAGCAGTGCCGAGCTGGTACCAAAATTCAGCACTTCATAAATTGTTTACTAGATCTCTACATAGAGCCAAGCAACAATGTTGGAAAGACGCCGAGCAGTATCAGTCAGGTTGTTGCCTGACTATGGAAAAATAATACTTGTTCCTGGGACACAGACTATTTCCTCCAAGAAAGACAATAGTAAAAAAAAATGTAGTGGCTGTAAATCCAACCACTGAAATCTCATATAATATCTGAACCCCAAAACAAAAATGTAGTATATTAAAGGAGAACTATGAGGTGAGTGAAAAATCACTCATCCTCATAGTTCGAGCCGATGCGAGACAAAGAAATTGTCACACATCCGCACAATAGATCGGGAAGTGAGCCAACACATACCGTCGCTCGCTCACTTCTCGAGCTATCCCTGCAGAGAGCCGTGACTGTCACTCACGGCTCCCAGCAGGGATCCCCCTCCCCGCTCCGATCCTACCAGCGCTGGCTGGCCGAAAGAGGCGGGGGAGGGGGCGGGTACAGCTGGCTCTGCCTCTAGATAGGCAGAGCTGTAGCTCGCGGTATACTGAGCTTTGGGTCATGGGAGGACGCTAGTTTATGTCCTCCCGCGACCCTTAAGAGAACTATGGGGGAAAACACTTACCCCATAGTTCTCTTTTAAAGCTTAATAGTCCTTAGATGTACTGACTGCATTTGTTTTTTCATTTCCAATATTTTTACCGGATGACCCTGCAAAAAATAACACTTCCTGTCCTAGGGTGACAACACTTATTCCATTATGGAGGGAGCCATGGTTGCCACTGGGCTGTAATACAAATATGTCTGCCTTTGGTAATCTCCATTACATAGGTCATAAAAATTAATGAATTTTAAAGTAGAGTAATTACATGATTAATCGTAATTATTGTAATTAATCATAAATTTGAATTATGCAATGACTGTACTCCTAATTATCATTCTGTATAAAATGATTTCATGTCCTGAACCAATCATGCTATACTGTAAGTCAAGTAAATCATGCACAGTGAGGTTGTAAGCATTTCTCTTAATTATAAAGATAAAACCAAGAATAATCAAGTAAGTTAATATATAATCATTCTGGGTTTATACCTTATATATACAGTTGCAATCAAAATTATTCAATCCCTGTTGCAAATCAGGTTTATTGGCAAAATGTATAGACGTTCAGTTGTTTGCAATTAACAAATCACACAAAATAAATTGAAATAGGTCAACACAACAAATGTTTCAAGTGGTTTCCCCAAATTCAACTGAAAATGCAACTTTTAATGACTTTTGCAGTCTCCACATTATTCAACCTCCTGAATGGAACTGGCTCAGTGATGCTCTGGGGCTGCTTTGCATCTTCGGCACTGGAAACCTGCAGCACTTGCACATGGACAGCAAGATGAATTCATTGAAGTATCAGGAAATCCTAGGAAAAAACATCATGCCGTCTCTGAGGAAGCCGAAGCTTTGGCATCATTGGACCTTCCAACTGGACAGTGATCCCCAGCAAACCTCAAATTCCACCTAGGCTTGGTTGCAGAAGGAGTCCTGGAGTTATCCTCTGGGCCGGATTTACTCTCTTTGCTGCCCCAAGGTCAGGTTCAATGCGCCCTCCTACCCGCCAAACAACCCCCCCATGGAGAATGGCAGACCTGTGGCATATTTGCTTTCTTTTAATACTTTTTTAAATTTGTATTTTTTTTTTACTTTTTATAATTTTTTAAAACTTTTTTAACACTGTTTTATTTTTTTAATTATTATTTCTAATTATCTTTTATTTTTTATAATTTTTTTTTTTTTACTTTTTAGCAATTTTAATTTTTTTTCCCACGTAACTTTATTGCTATCACACAGGAACTAACAATCCCCTGTGTGATAGCATTTGGAGGTGATAGGTTTCCTGCTCTTGTAACGGATCCCCACCGTCTGAGCATGTGCAACCTGCACGTTCCCGCACTGCTCGGGAACACGCCATCCCGCGCATGCGCAGAAGCAGTAACCTGCGAGCACGAATATGCGCCATCCCGCGCATATGCAGAAGCAGTAGTCTACCAGCACGAAAATCCGCCATAGCGGCGCACAGGAAATTACATCACTGGCCCTATATAAACCCAGCAGCAGTACCACCATGTTGCTGGTTTATCGTCAGCTAATCCTTGTTCCAGTTTTGTGATATCTTGCTTGATCCTTGTGACCCGGACTTCCTCGACAAACCTTGAATTCTGCTTGCCTTGACCACGGAACTGTTATTTGACCATTCTTCTGCCTGACCCCTTTTGTACTGGAATTGCCCGCTTGGAACCTGACCTCGGCACGTCTCATTGGATTACGGCTTGCACGGTGCTCAACACCACTGGCACTCCTGCCTCTTGTTGTCCCGCTGGGCTCTGTTCCCATCCTCAGAGTCTCCCAGGACACAAGGTGCAAGGGAAGCCTCCTCTCACATCCGGTCTCCCAGAAGGTACGTAACAGCTCTTCATCCTGAACTACCTTGCCTTGGCCCCAGGTTCCCCAGAAGAGAGGGGGTGCCTGAAAACCACACCAGGGAGGAAGGCAGACAGCGGGGAGAGGCAGCCAGAGGTGGCGGCGGACCATGGAGGGGGGTGCCGGGGAGGACAGGCGAGCATCGCCGAGATCACCTGTACAAAATGAGCTGCAGCTTCCCCACTCTACATTTATTATTATTATTATACACGATTTATATAGCGCCAACAGTTTGCGCAGCGCTTTACAATATAGGTGTAATGATCCGTGCAAGCTCAGCGAGATGTATAGGATCGCAGCTGCGGAGGTAAGTGGAAATGGTTCAGGTGGAGGGTTCACAGTCACACTTTAGTGCAGTGAGTGAAGTCGGAACCCCTTACACATCATACACCATTTGTTTGTAGGAGTAGTTTAGTGGAGGCGGTGAATCCTCACAACCCTCAATTGTACAGCATTGGGGCCTGTTGGGAATTGTAGTTCACTGCCCTAGTTTACTTCACTAGGGGGCCAAACTTAGGTAACTCTAATGTAAAATAACAAATATGACAGTCCAGAGTATAGGGTAAGGCAGGTTGAGATACTAGAGTTAGTTAGCTTCACTAACCCCAAGCATAAATATCATGTAGGTGCAAACAAGCCTTATGTCCTATGCAGCAGTAGTGTGTAAGCAATATCAATAGGAGAGGAGGCGTGATAATGGAGCTTCCCACATAGGTGTCAGCAACAACACTTCAATTGATTGCAGCATGTGCTAATGGCTACTTACTTCCCTGGGATTCCTGCATCCACGCTGCCAGGAATCCCAGGGAGATAGTTCCAGAGGTCCAATGGTCTGTAGCAGGATTGCCTGTCCCAGTACATGTGCAGTCCCTAAGTAGCTTGCTCGACGTACTA